AAAGAAAGTCTTCTTTGCGGTCTTTATTGCCGCGGCATATGCCCTAAGAAAGGACACAAACCGTGCTCGGTTCCATTTGTCTGTGCAGGGTTCCATATTTCGCACTTTAATAACATAACCGTTGAATGCTAAGGCTTTCCACCAAAATGGAACTGTAGATGAGAGTCTACTGAACAAGCCATTGCCTGCCGCATACTTTGCTTAAATTGCATTGACCAACCGTCTGTGCATACTTCCATACTTTGCACTTTAACAACGCAACCGTTCAATGCTAAGGCTTCCAGCCAAAATGGAACTGTAGAGGAGAGTCTACTGAACAAGCCAGTACCTGCCGCATACCAGTACCGCCATCTGTTACGAAGGTGGAGGCATTACTTTTCATTCAACCCTCGTCGGATCGGTTTGCTGCAATTCCTTGGCATCAAAAACCTCAATGTGAAGCCTGAGATTTCTCCCAGAGCCATGAGTTCGGGATTGATGGCACCTCCTTTCCTTTCCTTTCATGTCCTGCTAGTGTTGCCTCAACCAGAACCCCAGTCTGGACAGATATGGACCAAAGCCCCTGCCTTACAACACGGTGTAAGTCTTTCTCACTTTTTGCATTGGGTAGGGCTATCGGTTCCTTGCAAACACTGCCTGGTTCAACCTATCTTGTGTTTTTCTCCTTTCGTTGCAGCAATACCTATAGGAGCTTTGGGTCGGCGCACAGGTGAGTAGTGGGCTTTGATGCCCCCCAAAAAAGTCCCAGAAACAGACCCTAAATTCATTCGTTCACACTCACTTTAAAGCAGTGTTTCTCAACTTTCCTAATGCCATGACCCCTGAACACTAGGGCTGGGCGGTTTCGTTTCATAATTCGTTAAAAAATCATTATTTTTTTTATAACGAAGCGATATTGAACTATTCAGGAGCAACTAAAAAACGAAACGAATTTTTCCAATTCGTTTCGTAATTGTTTCGTTATTGATTCGTTATTGATTCGTAAATGTTTCGTTATTATTTCCGCATGTCTGGTGCAAGTTTTAGGGTTGCTGTTTGTTTTCTCAGTGAAAAAAAATATAATTATCACACCAACAGTCAACAACAGAGGGAGAGGGAAGCTTCTGAAGTTTTTTTAGCGTATTGCGCGATCGCGGCCGCCATTAATGTAATCGATTCGTAATTATTTCGTAATTGTTTCATGATTTCCGAAATTTCGTAAATATCGAACTTTTTTAAAGGAAAATTTCGGAATTCTTTTAAATAACGAAACGCAAAAAAAACCCTAAAAACGAATCGAGTTTAGAAACAATTTTTTCCGTGTTTGGACAGCCCTACTGAACACTATTCCTCATGTTGTGGTTGTCCGAAGTGCGCGCCTTGCCAACAAATGTGAAATTCGAGGTCAACGTAATGCTTTCATGTTGGGGAAATGATCTGATTAAAGTCTGTCCATTGTCAGTGCAATGTTGCTTATATCCTGTTAACTTCTCTAAAATTACCTCGGCTTTTGGGGAAAGCTTCTATCTCAGTGTTTCTCGACCTTCCTAATGCCACGACCCCTTAATACAGTTCCTCATGTTGTGGTGACCCCCAACGATAACATTTTTTTTTTGCTACTTCATAACTGCAATTTTGCTCGTGTTATGAATCATAATTTGGGAGTTGTAGTTGTTGGGATTCATGATTCACCTACAATCAAAGAGTATTCTGAACTCCACTAATGATGGAATTGAACCAAACTTGGCACACAGAATGCCCACGACCAACAGAAAACACTGGGTTTGGTGGGCATTGACCTTGAGTTTGGGAGTTGTAGTTCACCTACAGAGAGCACTATATCTGGACCAAACTTGGCACAAATACTCAGTATGCTAAATTTGAACACTGATGGAGTTTGGGGAAAATAGGCCTTGATATTTGGGAGTTGTAATTTGCTGGGATTTATAGTTCACCTACAATCAAAGAGTATTCTGAACTCCACCAATGATGGAATTGAACCAAACTTGGCACACAGAATGCCCACGACCAACAGAAAACACTGGAAGGGTTTGGTGGGCATTGACCTTGAGTTTGGGAGTTGTAGTTCACCTACAGAGAGCACTATGGACTCAAACAATGATGGAACTTCAATATGCCCAAATGTGAACACTGGTGGAGTTTGGGGAAAATAGGCTTGACATTTGGGAGTTGTAGTTGCTGGGATTTATAGTTCACTACAATCAAAGAGCATTCTGAACCACCAACGATGGAATTGAACCAAACTTGGCACACAGAATGCACACGACCAACAGAAAACACTGGAAGTTGGTGGGCATTGACCTTGAGTTTGGGAGTTGTAGTTCACCTACAGAGAGCACTATATCTGGACCAAACTTGGCACAAATACTCAGTATGCTAAATTTGAACACTGATGGAGTTTGGGGAAAATAGGCCTTGATATTTGGGAGTTGTAATTTGCTGGGATTTATAGTTCACCTACAATCAAAAAGCATTCTGAACCCCACCAATGATAGAATTGGGCCAACTTCCCACACAGAACCCCCATGAATAACAGAAAATACTGTGTTTTCTGATGGTCTTTGGTGACCCCTCTGATACCCCCTCGTGACCCCTAAATACCTCGGCTTTTGGGGAAAGCTTCTAGCTCTTTGGGACTTTGGTTTTGCTCTTGATTTTTTGGGGACTTTGTCATGCTGCCATGGATTCTTGTTTAACCAATGCTAAAGGATTATACTTCATGTTATTTGCCTTTGGATCTTGGAAACTTTGCCTTTGCATTTAAGACTCTATTTGGGCCATTGAACTTTTGCAACTTTACTTCTATGTTTTTGATTTTGCTTTTTTCTTCAATAAACTCCATGACCAACAGAAATACTGTGTTTTCTGATGGTCTTTGGTGACCCCTCTGGCACCCCCTTGGGCACCCCCCAGGAGTCCCGAACCCCAGGTTGAGAAACGGTGCTTTAAAGGGAAATGCTTCCAATATTGATTTAGGATTGTCTGCACGCCCTCATCTTTCTTTGAAAACCCTATCCTAGCTTACCTTACCTTGTTCATGTCCAGCATTTTAAATTTTAATTATTACATTTGGCCCGGCCATAGGTTTTGAATTGCTGTATGTTATTTATTTATGTATTTACTTTGCTTCTATACGGCTGTATCTCAAGCCCGAAGGCGACTCACAGCGGTTCACAAACAGTAAAAACAGTAGAAACAGCAGTGGTTCCATACAACATATAACAATTGACTTAACACATTATCCATAAATTACCAATAAGCAATTACAATGCACAATTATTACAAAAAAAAACCGTACCCAATCTTCTCATCATCCAAGCGTAGTCCAGGTTCGTCGTCCCTTGTTCCATTCCTATGTTCCATTACCAGATTGCACTAAATTACTCAAACGCCTGCACAAACATCCAGGTCTTCACCTTTTTGCGGAATACCATTAGAGATGGTGTTAGTCTAATGTCCGTAGAAAGGGCGTTCCACAGCCGAGGAGCCACCACCGAGAAGGCCCTATCTCTCGTCCCCGCCAGCCGAGCTTGAGAAGCAGGCGGGATCGAGAGCAGGGCCTCCCCGGAAGATCTCAAAGTCCTGGTGGGTTCGTAGGTGGAGACGCGGTCGGATAGGTATCTTGGGCCGGAACCGTTTAAGGCTTTATAGGCCAACGCCAGCACCTTGAATTGGCCGGTAGCAGATCGGTAGCCAGTGGAGTTGGCACAACAGGGGGTTGTATGCTCCCTGCGCTCCGCTCCTGTTAAAATCATGGCTGCCGAGCGTTGGACTAGTTGGAGCTTCCGAGCTGTCTTCAAAGGCAACCCCACGTAGAGAGCATTGCAGTAGTCTAAACGGGATGTAACCAGAGCGTGGACTACCGTGGCCAAGTCAGACTTCCCAAGGTACGGGCGCAGCTGGTGCACAAGCTTTAACTGTGCAAATGCTCCCCTGGTCACCGCCGAAACATGGGGTTCCAGGCTCAGCGATGAGTCCAGGGTCACACCCAAGCTGCGAACCTGCGTCTTCAGGGGGAGTGCGGCCCCATCCAGCACAGGCTGTCACCCTATGCCCTGTTCGGCCTTGTTATTGTTATTGATATTGCTTATTGTGTATTTCTTTTAGTTTTATTTTATTTTATTTAACTGTTTTGTATTGATTATTTGTTATCGCCTTTGTTTATTGATGTGCTGTGGGCTTGGCCTCACGTAAGCCACACCGAGTCCCTTGGGGAAATGGTAACGGGGTACAAATAAAGATTATTATTATTATTATTATTATTCGACCAAAATGTTTTTGGAAAGAGCAAAATCCCAACTAGTGCCATGTTTTTCTACCTGCCCGCATCTTGTGTATGTGTCTGAGGTTCTTTAATCTTGGATGCCTCGGTCTGCACAGGCCAAAGGGTCAGACTGGATGACCTCAAGGGTATGCAAACTGACCAATGCACTCTCTGGGATGGGTCTCGGGGGCACGGTTCTGTCGTGGCTCCGGTCCTTCCTGGAGGGAGGAACCAAGATGGTGAAGCTGGGAGACACCTGCTCAGACCCCTGGCCTTTGACCTGTGGGGTCCCGCAAGGCTCCATTCTGTCCCCCATGCTTTTCAACATCTACATGAAACTGCTGGGAGAGGTCATCCAGAGTTTTGGAGTTGGGTGCCATCTCTACGCAGATGACGCACAACTCTACGACTCATTTCCACCCAATTCCAAGGAGGCCTCTCGGGTGTTGGATGAGTGCCTGGCCGCTGTGTCTATCTGGATGAGGAACAAGCTGAAGATCAATCCCGACAAGACAGAGGTCCTCCTGGTCGATCGTAAACCTGACCGGGGTATAGGGTGGCAACCTGTGCTGGACGGGGTTACACTCCCCCTGAAGCCACCGGTCCGCAGTTTGGGAGTCCTCTTGGATTCATCGCTCACGCTTGAGGCTCAGGCGTCGGTGGTGTCTGGGAGGGCTTTCGCACAATTAAGACTCGTGCGCCAACTGCGACCGTACCTCGCGAAGGCGGATCTGGTTAGGGTGGTCCATGCCTTGGTCACCTCCAGATTGGACTACTGTAATGCGCTCTACGTGGGGCTGCCCTTGAAAATGGCTCGGAAGTTCCAACTGGTCCAACGGGCAGCAGCCAGAATGTTAACTGGTGCTCCTTACAGAGAGAGGTCAACCCTCCTGTTCAAGGAGCTCCACTGGCTGCCGTTTATTTTCCGAGCCCAATTCAAGGTGCAGGTGCTCACCTACAAAGCCCTGAACCGTTTGGGACCATCCTACCTGCGTGACCGCATCTCCATTTATGAACCCACGCGCTCACTTCGTTCATCCGGAGAGGCCCTGCTCGTGATTCCGCCTGCGTCACATGCGCGTCTGGTGGGGACGCGAGACAGGGCCTTTTCCGTGGTGGCCCCCCGACTCTGGAACGCCCTCCCCAAAAATCTTAGACAGGCCCCTACGTTGGCAGTCTTCAGAAAGAACTTGAAGACCTGGCTGTTTTGATGTGCCTTCCCCGAATAGGAAATCTCCAATACCAAGTCCCAGAAGCACTTTATTAGAATTGAGTTTGCTGCACACTGCACTTGCCCTATAAGCCTTACGTATCACCTGTCACATCAGCACTTTGAATCCTGTACCCATTACTCTGGCCCGGCCCAGTTTTATAGTGTCTTGATGTATTGTTGATTGCTTGTTGTTTAATATTGCTTTAATTGTTTTTAATTTGCTTTAGGTGTTGTTTTGTTGTGTTGTGTTGTGTTTTGAGGCCTTGGCCTTTGTAAACCGCATCGACTCCTTTGGGAGATGCTAGTGGGGTACAAATAAAGTAATAATAATAATAATAATAATAATAATAATAATAATAATAATGCTAATAATAATGCTAATAATGTGCCCCCTTTCTTGCTTTCCAGCCGCTCCCATTACCTCCAGCCTTGGCGCTAGGAAGGCACACCGATCCTCTTTGGCCCAGGAGAGCCAGAAAGAAGATGTAAAAGCCGCCCGCTGACCCGGCAAAGGAAGGCCCGCCGAAGGAAGTGTTTCCCGGTTGAAATAAAATCAGAATTAAGTTCTAAGGGAAGCAGCAAAGGGGAAGGCACGGGTGGGTGGGTGGCTTTTCCCCATCTTGGCCTCTCTTTTCTCCCACCTGGCTCCCACTTTTGCATTCAGCTTCAGCATCACAGGTGAGGCTCCTGTCGGCTTCGAGGATGGGTGGCTTCGGGCCTCAGTCCTGCAGTCCTGAAAACCGGGCATTTGCAGGACCGCATATATATTAGGCCTGTGCGGTTTCGTTCGTTAATTCGTTAATAATTCGTTAATTTTACCATTTCCGAAGCGATATCGAAACATATTTCCAAACCCGGAAGGGTTTATAAATATCGAACCAGCAGCCCCCATAGTTTTAACGAGCCTCCGCTCGTTTCGTTAATGGGGTGGAGGCTGCTGGAGTGCTGGTGCCTGGGAGCCAATCCGGCGCTCCCAAGCAGTGCACCATGGGTCCGTGGCTGCCTGTTTTTGATTGGCTGGCGAGCCCTTTCAAAGCGGCTCCGCGCGGCCCGTAGCTTCAAGAGGGCGAGGGAGTTTGCATTGGGTTGGCTTGGCAATGGCTGCCTGCTAGCAACGAACTGGGATTGGATTCATTCCTTGCTGCTGTGAGTGCTGCTTGCTTCATTTGCTGTCTCTTGCCTGTGTTTGGTCCACATTTGGGCCATTTATTGGTTAATTGTCCATTTTAAAATATTTTTAATATTATTTTTAATATTATTTTTAATATTATTTTTAATATTATTTTAATATTATTCTTAAAAAATATTCTAAAAAAGAAAAGACTCTTCTGTTGGTGTGTGCTCTCATTTGCTGTATCCTGCCTGTGTTTGGTCATTTTTTGGTTAATTTTCCATTTTAAAATATTTTTAATATTATTTTAATATTATTTTTAAAAAATAAAAAATATTCTAAAAATTCGTTAATATTTACAAAATTTTGTAAATACCAAAACTTTTTTTGGGAAAGTTTTGTAATTATTTTAAATATCGAAACAAAAAAACACCCCAATTACAAATCGATTTTAGAACCAATTTTTTTCTTGATCAAACAGGCCTAATATCTATACATAAGGGCATCCTCAATCCTGTCCACTTACTTCTCGACACTCTGCAAGAAGCACATTCCAAGAACTGCTGCAAACCAGGTATTTGCAAGACCTTGGGGTCAATCAAGGAAGGCAAGGAGAGGACATTCCTCAGAGTTGCAGGACCACCAAGACCTTTTCAGATGGAGACAAGATGGACATCACATCCTTGCTCATGTTCAGGTGGAATCTCCTTTCCTTTCTTCCTCAGATTCAGGTGGAATCTCCCTTCCTTCAAATCAGCAGTGGAACTCTCTGCCCCGGTGGAGCAAAGTTCTAAGGGAAGCAGCCAAAAATACACAATAAGCGTGGTGGAGGCTCCTTCTTTGGAAGCTTTGAAACAGAGGCTGGATGGCCATCTGTCAGGGGTGCTTTGAGTGCAATCTTCCTGCTTCTTGGCAGAATGGGGTTGGACTGGATGATGGCCCAGGAGGTCTCTTCCCACTCTAGGATTCTATGATTCTATGGTAAGAAAGGAGATTCCATTGAACATTAGGAAGAACTTCCTGACCAAGAGCTGTTCAACAGTGGAACTCTCTGCTTCGGAATCCGGTGGAAGCTCCTTCTTTAGAACTGTAGAATAATAGAGTTGGAAGGGCCATCAAGTCCAACCCCATGATGCCAGGCAGGAAAACCACCATCAAAGCACCCAACAGATGGCCATCCAGCTTCCACTGGACACTGAGGCAGAGAGTTCCACTGCTGAACAGCTCTTCTTACAATGTTCCTAATGTTCAATGGAATCTCTTTCCCTGTCATTGGAACCCATGGCTCCATTGAGTCCCAATTTCCAAGAAAGGAAGCCTCCCTCTTCCTTAGGACAGCCTTTCACAGACGTAAACATGGCTCCTCTCATGCATCCTTCTCTCAACCTTCTCTTCTGTAGGATAGAGACCCAGCTCTTTAAGCCACTCTTCAGAGGGAATAACTAATAATAATAATAATAATAATAATAATAATAATAATAATAATAATATACATCACACAGTCCTAGACACTTGGGAAGCGTCCGACGTGTGATCCAATACAACAGCCAGCAGAGTGTCTGCTGTGGACTCATCTTGTTGTGTTTCTAATAATAACAACAACAACAACATGGTCCTAACAACAACATAGTCCTAGATACTTGGGAACTGTCTGACATGTGAACCAATACAACAGCCAGCGGAGTGTCTGCTGTGGACTCATCTTGTTGTGTTAATAATAATAATAATAATAATAATAATAATAATAATAGCAAGCCAGTCAAGGGGGTCCCAGTGGTGATCGGCACACTGGGTGCAGTACCTAAAGACCTTGGCCTGCACTTAAAAACAATCGGCACCGACAAAATCACCACCTGTCACAGCTGCAAAAGGCCACCTTACTCAGATCTGCATGCATTATTCGCCAAAACATAAACATAAACATTATTCGCCGGAATATAAATACTATAAATAAATAAATAAACATCTCATAGTCCTACCAGCTGTTAGGAATTGTGGGAGTTGAAGTCCAAAACACCTTGAGGACCAAAGTTTGCCCGTGCCTGTTCTAAGAGAAACCATTGACAAGCACCCTTGCTTTTAAGCAGAGGCTAAGTGGCCATCTGTCAGGAGGGTTTTGATTGTGTTTTCCCTGCCTGGCAGAAAGAAAAGGGTTGGGTTGCTGTAGGTTTTTTTGGGCTATATGGCCATGTTCTAGAGGCATTCTCTCCTGACGTTTCGCCTGCATCTATGGCAAGCATCCTCAGAGGTAGTGAGGGTTGGACTAGATGGCCCTTGGGGGTCTCTTATGACTATGATTCTATAACTTGCAAAACATTCTCAAGGAAACAATAAGGGGGGAAAGGAAGTTCAGACACTAAAGAAAGGAAAACAAGCAAGAGTCCTCCCCGTTCCCAAGAAAACTCTCGGATGTGCCGTTTCCATTTCCAAACATCCGGTCCCAGCAAACCGGGAGGAGGCCCGCCCTTCCCTCCGGCCATGCAGCCACCCTCCGGCCTGCAAAACACAGGATTCCCCTTTCAGGACGAAATGCAAAAACAGGAATCCAGCATATGTACGGATGGCTTGGTAATGCATCCAAATGCACCAACCTGTCAAGAGTGAAGAGAGAGGGAGCCAGGAAGACAGTTCCACCTTGTCTCCTGCACTGTGCTAATAATATAATATAATATAATATAATATAATATAATATAATATAATATAATATAATATAATATATTGTATATACATATAATATTGATACTATTATAATGTAAAACAATATAATACGAGTAATAATATTATATTATAATTACTGCTGCTCTGGGCCAGAGTGAAGAGAGAGGGGACCAGGAAGACAGTTCCACCTTGTCTCCTGTGCTATGCTAATAGAATATAATATACTATATATACATATAATATTTATAATATTATAATGTAATGCAATATAATACTACTAATAATAATATTATATAATTACTGCTGCTCTGGGCCAGAGTGAAGAGTGAGGGGGCCAGGAAGACAGTTCCACTTGGTCTCCTGTGCTATGCTAATAATAGAATATAATACACCGTATATACATATAATATTTATAAGATTATAATGTTATGCAATATAATACTACTACTAATAATATTATATTATAATTATTCCTGCTCTGGACCAGAGTGAAGAGAGAGGGGGCCAGGAAGACAGTTCCACCTTGTCTCCTGTGCTATTCTAATAATATAATATACCGTATATACATATAATATTTATGATATTATAATGTAATGCAATATAATACTACTAATAATATTATAATTACTGCTGCTCTGGACCAGAGTGATGAGAGAGGGGGCCAGGAAGACAGTTCCACCTTGTCTCCTGCACTGTGCTAATAATATAATATAATATATTGTATATACATATAATATTGATAATATTATAATGTAATACAATATAATACTACTAATAATATTATATTATAATTACTGCTGCTCTGGGCCAGAGTGAAGAGTGAGGGGGCCAGGAAGAAAGTTCCACCTTGTCTCCTGCGCTGTGCTAATATAATATATTGTATATACATATAATATTGATACTATTATAATGTAATATAATATAATACTACTAATAATATTATAATAACTGCTGCTCTGGACCAGAGTGAAGAGAGAGGGGGCCAGGAAGACAGTTCCACTTTGTCTCCTGTGCTATGCTAATAACAGAATATAATATACCGTATATAATATAATATTTATAATGTAATACAATATAATACTACTAGTATTATTATATTATAATTATTCCTGCTCTGGACCAGAGTGAAAAGAGGGGGGCCAGAAAGACAGTTCCACCTTGTCTCCTGCACTGTGCTAATAATATAATATAATATATTGTATATACAGATAATATTGATACTATTATAATGTAATATAATATAACACTACTAATAATAATATAATTACTGCTGCTCTGGGTCAGAGTGAAGAGAGAGGGGGCCAGGAAGACAGTTCCACCTTGTCTCCTGCACTGTGCTAATAATATATTTTATATACAGATAATATTGATACTATTATAATGTAATACAATATACTACTAATAATATTATATTATAATTACTGCTGTGTATATGTATGTGTATATATATTTGTGTATACGTGTATATATGTGTTGTTTTGCGCATGCGTTGTAACGTATTTTTTGGTTTTTGGCTTTTTAAGTCCCTTCCACTGTATTTTTATGAGTGATGGTCGCTTGTTGGCCTGAGAGGTGTCTTGTGTCCAAATTTGGTGACAATTCATCCAGTGGTTTTTGAGTTATGTTCATCCCACAAACAAACTTTACATTTTTATTTATATAGATACTAGCTGTCTCCTGCCAGGCGTTGCTGTGGCCCAGTCCGTGTATATCTGTTTTGTGTGTGTGTATACATTTGTGTATATGTGTATATATGTGTTTACATGTTTGCATGAGTGTGTGTGTATATATGTGTGTGTGGTTTTGTGCATGCGTTGTAATGTATTTTTTAATTTTTTAGCTTTCAAAGTCCCTTCCGCTGTGCTTTTCAGTGTTTTATGAGTGATGGTCATTCTTTGGCCTGATTGGCATATTGTGTCCAAATTTGGTGTCAATTCCCCCAGTGGTTTTTGCGTTATGTTAATCCCACAAACGAACATTACATTTTTATTTATATAACTAGCCGTCCCCTGCCACGCATTGCTGTGGCCCACATGGGGGTTCTGTGTGGGAGAATTGGGCCAAAGAATTGGTGGGGTTCAGAATGCTCTGTGATTGTAGGTGAACTATAAATCCCAGCAACTACATCTCCCAAATGTCAAGGTCTATTTTCCCCAAACGCCACCAGTGTACACATTTGGTCATATTGAGTCTTTGTGTAGAGTTTGGTCCAGATCCATCGTTGTTTTGAGTCCAGTGCTCTCTGGATGTAGGTGAACTACAACTCCAAAACCAAAGGACACTGCTCACCAAACCCTTCCAGTATTTTTTGTTGTTCATGGGAGAACTGTGTGCCAAGTTTGGTTCAATTCCATCATTGGTGGGGTTCAGAATGCTCTTTGATTGTAGGTGAACTCTAAATCCCAGCAACTACAACTCCCAAATGACAAAATCAATTTTTTGAGTGAAGGACATACATTGGGTTGTTAGGTGTCTTGTGTCCAAATTTGGTGTCAATTCGTCCAGTGGTTTTTGAGTTGTGTTAATCCCACAAACGAACATTACATTTTTATTTATATAGATGGATACTAGCTGTCCCCTGCCACGTGTTGCTGTGGCCCAGTCTGTGTATATGTTTTGTGTGTGTATATATGTGTATATGTGTGAGTTTGCATATATATATGTGTGTGTGTATATTTGTGTATTTATATGTGTACATGCATATTGTGTATATGTGTATATACATTTGTGTATATATGTGTTTGCTTATGTATATATATATATATATATATATATATATATTTATGGGGGTGTATATATGTGTGTGTATGTATTTGGTAATTTGTGTGTTTATATGTGTAAATGCATATTGTGTATATGTGTGTGCTTGTCTATATGCATATTTGTGTGTATATATGTATGTATGTGGATATGTATACGTGTGTGCATGTGTATATGTATATATCTATATGTATGTATGTGTGTATGTTTGCATATATATATATATACATGTATGTATGAACGTGTGCATGTGCATATAACTGTATGTGTGTATGTATATATGGTGTAGTTTTTGGGTTTTTAAGGCTGTTCCGCTGGGGTATTGTATGTTTGTGTGTGTTTATGGGTGATGGACACTCGTTGGCCTGATTGGTGCCTTGTGTCCAAATTTGGTGTCAATTCATCCGATGGTTTTTGTGTTCTGTTAATCCCACAAACGAACGTTACATGTTTATTTATATAGATATATCTATATGGAAGGAATCAAGGGGGGGCCGTCCTTCTGGGCTACACAGGCTTTTAATGAATATTAAACTGCTTTTTTTAAAAAAAGCAATATGAAAAATAATGAAGACAAACTCCATAAAAGTCAGTTCTGTACATCTCGAGGTGCCGTGAAGGGAACCAAGGCCGAGCGAGTCCGAAACAAAAGGCGAGGCGAGGCGCAGCTGCCCACCGGTCGGCCTTCCCGCTCCCTTTGGAGCAGGGCATCACTTGCAGGGTGGATCCTGGCGGGAAAACCTCCACAAACTTTCCAAGGTCACTGTTTCTCCGTCCGATATAGTGTCCGCGGGGCTGTGGCGCTTAAGGGCAGAGACACCGACCCCCAAAAAAGGCATCTGCAGGCGCTTACGGACACATAAGAATCCCAGATGCACGGGCGCACTTGTCACGCTCTCCGTTTGCACGTAAACAAGACCCTTCTTCTAACTGTGTTGCCCAGAAATTACACCGGGAAGCCACTCTATGTTACACTCATGCCCGAAGTCGGCCGTAAATAGAGTAGGGTTGTCCTCCTGCCCCTCTCCACGTGACCTCCTGCCTTGTCTCTTTACTTGAGGCCCAACTGATGCTGGTTTTGAATGACTGAAACCAACGAGACAACCGCCACGTCCCAGAGATGCCAGGCAGAATGGAAAGAGCATGCACCAGCGCCTCAGTGTGTATGTGCAAGGGACCTTTCCTGGGAACCTAGTCCGTCGTTCAACACGATTGTCTTGTTCCGTGGTTTGCAAACCCAACCCTGTTCCCCCTTTTGGCTCCCAAACCACAGAGAGATCCTTTCAGGGATCCCGTCTCTGTCCGACAGACACACTCATGGGCTGGAAAGGATTCAAATGAGACTGGGAAATAGTACAGTGCTTGGGATGTCAAGGCAGGCTGACGAGGAGGGAGGCAAGGAGGGTGCAGTCTGAGCGGCCGGCATGCATGCTCTTTCCTCCCCCCATCCACTCATCTTGCACCCACTCGAAGAGCTTTGGAGCGCGATCTTCCCTCCGCCGTCGATCTAAAGGACGCCTTGCGGTGGGTGACGGCGCTCCCGTGGGCTCAGGGCAGGCACGGGGCCACGGGGTAGGCGGTGGCCTCGGTGGCGGTGTGCGAGCGGCCGGCATGCATGCTTTCCTCCCCCAATCTGCTCGTCTTGCACCCACTCAAAGGGCTTTGGAGCGCGATCTTCCCCCCGCCGTCGACCTAAAGGACGCCTTGAGATGGGTGTCGGCGCTCGCGTGGGCTCAGGGCAGACACGGGGCCACGGGGTAGGCGGCTGCATCGGTGGTGGTGTGCGAGCTTCCGGCATGCATGCTCTTTCCTCCCCCAATCCACTCGTCTTGCACCCACTCAAAGGGCTTTGGAGCGCGATCTTCCCCCTGCCGTCGATCTAAAGGACGCCTTGAGGTGGGTGACGGCGCTCCCGTGGGCTCAGGGCAGGCACGGGGCCACGGGGTAGGCGGCGGCCTCAGTGGCGGTGTGCTGGGCGCTGTGTTCCTGCAGCAGTCCCAAGTCCAGGAAGCGCTCCCCGCACCACATGCACTTGTAGTGCTGCTCGCGGGTGTGGACGCCGTGGTGCTTGTTGAGGTGCTCGCGCTGCTTGAAGGCCTTCTCGCAGGAGGGGCACTTGTAGGGCTTCTCCCCGGTGTGGACCCGCCGGTGGCGCTGCAGGTCCGAGGCGTACTTGAAGCGCTTCTGGCAGTCGGGGCACTTGAGGGGTCGCTCGCGGGCCGGGTCGCAGCGGTGCTGGACGAACTCGGAGGAGGAGAAGAAGCGCCGCTCGCAGAGGGTGCAGCGGAGGGGCTTCTCGGCACAGTGGGAGGTTAGCTGGTGCTTCTGCAGGGCCGAGGCCCGCTTGTAGGCCTTGCTGCAGGCGGCGCACTTGAAGGGCCGCTCGGCACTCTGGACGCAGCGGTGGCGCAGCAGCTCCGAGGACTGGCTGAAGCCCTTCTGGCAGGCGTTGCACTTGAAGAGGTTCTCGATGCCGTGGACGTGCTGGTGGTAGAGCAGGTGGGCCGGCTGCACGAAGCCCTTCTCGCACAGGGAGCACTTGAAGGGCCCCGTCTGCAGCTCCGACTCCCCGGAGGGAGTGGCGGCGGCGGCAGCAGCAGCGGCGATGCCGGCCCCGGCGACGCTGGCCACGCCTCCCATGGCCACCAGGGCTTTGTGGGTGCGGCGGTGGCGCATGAGGGCGTACTGCTGCTTGAAGCTCATCTGGCAGAGGTCGCACTGGAAGGGCCGCTCGGTGCTGTGGGTGCGCTCGTGCTGGCGCAGGTCGGAGGGCCGGCGGAAGGCCTTGGGGCAGGCCCCGCAGCGGAAGGGCCGCTCCCCGCTGGGCGTGCAGGGGTGCTGGAGCAGCTCCGAGGACTCCTTGAAGTGGAGCTCGCAGACGTTGCAGCGGAAGAGGTGGGCCTCGCCCGAGTGGGCGTACATGTGCCGCACCAGGTGGGAGCGGTGCTTGAAGGCCTTCTCGCAGACTGAGCACTTGTAGGGCCGCTCGGCGCTGTGGGTGCGCTTGTGGTGCACCAGGTGGGAGGACTGGCTGAAGCTCTTGTCGCACAGGCTGCACTTGTAGGGCTTCTCCCCGGTGTGCACCCGCTCGTGCCGCGACAGCTCCGAGAGGTGCTTGAAGGGCTTCTGGCAGATGGAGCAGCTGTAGGGCTTCTCGGCCGCGGCAATGGGGCCCCGGTTGAGCGAGGCCGGCTGCTGCGGCGGGGCAGGCTCCTCGGGGGCCGAAGCAGCGGTGGCGGCGGCCGCCTTGTAGGTCTTCTCACAAATGGAGCACTTGACGGCGGTGGCGCCGTTGTGGACGTTGTGGTGCTGGGCCAGGGAGGTGAGCAGGGAGAAGCCCATCTTGCAGACGCCGCAGACGAAGGGCTTCTGCTCCACCTGCAGGCACTGGTGCTCCAGGAGGTCAGTGGCCTGGTGGAAGATCTTCAGGCACTGGGTGCACTGGAAGGAGCGGTCGTGGCCCCCCGCCAGGCACTGGTGCTCCTGCGGGTTGGAGAGGTGCCCCAAATCATGCCCGCAGACCCCGCACTTGGGGGAGGGCTCTCCTCCGCCCGCCGGGAGCGGAGGGTGGTGCTGCAGGCCGCTGGGCTCCGGCTGGAGCAGGATGCCGTAGACGGCACAACCCAGGGCATTCTCTGCTACGGCATTTGAAGGGATCGGGTGCTCCGGCAGGGTGGCCGCCCCGGCATGGTGAGGGGGCGGCTGCGGGGGAGGCTGCTGCTGCTGCGGGGGAGGCTGCTGCGGCGGCGGCTGCGGCCAGCTCTCCGACATGCCGGGGAAGAGGAACCGGGGTTTCCACAACAAGGGCTTCAGCTTCCCAGCGGAGGCAAAGCAATGAGGAGGAGGGAGATCTGGCCGTCCGGTGATCGATCGACGACCCCACGCTCACGGCACCAAGGAGCGCAACTCTTCCCAACACATCAAACAGGGAGTGGTGTTGGTTTGCAGGACATCCCGCACAAACCCAGTCAAGGCCCTTCTTCGCCTCGGTCCACAGCACACATCAAGAGGAACTGCAAGGAAAGGGAGAGAAGTTGGGTGACACCCCTTTGGTGTTAATCAATAATATAATAATAATAATAATCTGATAATACTATAATAGTAATTTCATCTTCAGTCTATTATTATTGTTATTATTATTCTGTCTCAATTTCATTATAAATGGCAGTTCCTAATTGGTTCTGTCATAAAAATTGCCAATAATGAAATAATAATTAAATTTTGAAAGTTTTGTTAGAGTTCTGAAATTTTCACCACCAGAACTTTCGTTTTGTAAGTACTTTAGAACCATTTAGAACCATGGATTGCCCAGGCCTAATGGGCAAATTTCCACCCTCCCTTCAAGTGTTTTGGACTACTACCGGCTGTTAGGAAGTTGGGGGGTTGAAGTCCAAAACATCTGGAGGGCAGAAGTTTGCTAGATTGGCAGAAGCTGGGGCTAACGGCGGGTGCTCACCCCACTCTCCGAATTCGAACCACCGACCTATCAGTCAGCAAGTTCAGAAGCTCAGCATTTAAGACGCTGCACCACCGGGGTCCTATTATTATTATTATTATTATTTTGCTGACACAAAACCACAGTATGTCACAGCAAACGAGATCTAGATCAGCGGTTCTCAACCTGGGGGATGCGACCCCCAAGGGGGTTGTTTAGCCATTTCAGAGGGGTCGCAAGGCCACTTCCTTTGGCCCCGCCCCCCAAGGCTTTGCACAAAGCAAGGCCTCGTGCAAAGCCACCCTTGCCTGCCTTGTGCTCTCACCTGCCAGCAAGGGCGAGAGCCAGGCTAGGGCTCCTTTGCGTGAGGCCTGGTCTCGCGCAAAGCCACTCTCGCCTGCTATGTATTCTCGCCGGCCGGCAAGGGCGAGAGCCAGGTGAGCACTCCACGTGAGGCCTGGCCTCGCGCAAAACCTCCCTTGCCTGCCTCACTCTCAAAAATAATTTTATGGTTGGGGGTCACCACAACATGAGGAACCATATTTAGGGGTCACGATGTTAGAAAAGTTGAGAACCACTGATCTAGATGCTGGATTTCATATCACAAAATCACAAGTCAAAGACTTCCCAAGTGCCTAGGACTGTGCGATGTAGTTTCGAATGATGCACGCAGATCCAAGGAAGGTGGCCTTTTGCAGTTGACAGATTGTGATCGTGGTTGTTGTTATTATTATTATTATTATTATACATTACTATTGTATTATTATACACCATCCCAAGCCCAAGGCAGAGGAGGATCATATTAGTATGATACATTATTATTATTATTATTATTATTACATATTATTCTACATTATATTATTACATTATTATTATTATTATTATTATTATTATTATACTATTGTCACACGCCGTCCCAAACCCAAGGAGGAGGATCGCATTATGATGATATATAATTATTATAATGTTTAATTCCTATTAATTAATCCTGCTGATTACAAGATAAAAATATATAAATTCCTATTAATAATTTTAAAGCCTTGTTTTTCACTGCTTATTCCTCTAAACGTGAATTTTTAGTTGTGTGATGTCAGAAATTGTTGTAATGTTTCATTATTATTTGATGTTGATGTCTAATGTGTTATGACTTCATTTATGGTTTGTTTACGGCCTTGAATGTTTGCCACTGCACGTTGTGAGCGGCCCTGAGTCCCAATTGTGGAGTTAGAGCAGGATAGAAATGAAGTTTATTATTATTATTATTATTATTATTATTATTATTATTATTATTATTATTATCATCATCAACATTATCATAAGTTTTTTTATCATCATTGTTATCATAACCACAACCATTGTCTTGTGGGGTTCCTCAGGGCTCAATATTGTCTCCCATGTTGTTTAACATCTACATGAA